CTTGTATGCACTCCTCGAGTCGCGTCTGCCGTTCGATCCGTTGCCTGGCTCCGGGGCCGATGCCCATCGCATGCGCAGCAGGACGAGCCATAGAATAGCCCGCGCTGAGTGGCGCTGGATTGAGTATGCCGGCGATGATGGTGACCATGATGCCAGCATTGCCAAGTTCCGCGAGAAAGGCCTCGTGGGCGCAATGGAGATTACTGAAGGCCTGCTCATGAGGGCCAGAACTCGTTGGACGCTTGACAAAGTGCTTGCGAACGAGTGGGTCAACCAGGCGGTGCAGGTCGATGGCGGCATTCGATTTCGGGAAGAAATTGAACCAGAAGAAGTGCGCTGATCTGGCTGGCTATGGTACAGAACAACAGGTGCGCGCGGTGTTACTGATGCAACTGCAGAAAAGACCGGCGTGTCGTACAAAACGCAACGAGAAGGTTCGTCTGTCGGGCAAGCGGGTACGATTGAATATGCTGCCATCAAGGATATTGGCAGGTCGGGATAGGGGTGGGATGGGTTGGATGTTTGGGGCAGGTCTATCCGTGAGGGATCACGGGTCTCAGATCCAACATGGGCAGCGGACCAAGCGATGAGTATTTTCGACGTAGGTCAGGGTCCGTAGGTCAGGGTCCCTGTCCACAAACAGTTCACGTCCTTGACAGGACCGAGAGTCGGGGAATTGGGTTGGTCTTTATCCACTCTCCCTGTGGTCTCCTTTTCTTTTCTCTCATCTAGCTGGAGACGATATTGTGCGTGTAGATGTATATCGAAACAGATACCAAAAAACAACTAGACAAGCGACAGGTGTTTTGGGACGGCAAGATGCAGAAACTAGGCATGAGTAGACAGACATTGCAGACAGGCGCGGCTTCTTGTAGCTATCTAGGGTTGAATATCACTGCTTTCAAGTGTGTGTGCATTCGTACGTACGTAGTGTCTTCGTCACATGTGCGGTCCTCGCTCGCCATGGCATGGTCACTTGGATGTCACACAGCTCGTCACAAAGGGGGGGGGGGGACTCGAAGCACAGAACAAAGGTCTGCCATCTGCTCGTCCCTATACGAACTACGACGCACGTCGCCCCTTCCCATCCCGGTCCCGGCTCAGAATGTTGAAGTTCCAAAGACGCCCCCAGAAGACTAGGGCTAGTCAACCTCTTCGCCTCCACAGCATCCACAATACGAGTCCACACCTTCTCGGCCTCCCACGATTAATGATTATGAGCGTCCCCGCCGTCGGCGTGTTTTCATCAAATCGGCCGCATGGCCCAATGGCAAGGCGTCTGACTACGATCAGCTTCACTGTTCAGAAACGTCGGTAGCTGTAGTGCATCAGGAGATTGCAGGTTCGAGCCCTGCTGTGGTCAATTCACATAGGTCGTCCACTTCGGTGTTCGACCATCACTTTTTGCCTCATACATTGGGACGTGGGACTGGCTGTAAGGCTCGACAGACTGCCTTGGCGTCTTCTGCTTAGGTACGGAGTGTTGCACAGTCTTGCGGCTCACTTAGTTGTGAGCAGCAATCGTCGTCACGTCGCGGTCAAGGCACAAGCGGTATGCTTAGATTGTAGAACTCTTGTATTTTTATCTGACTGTCCCCGCTCTCCAATTGGCAAAACAGGCGCAGCCAGGCATCGAGGACCAGCGCGCAAGAATCAAGGGGGTATCAGGAAGTCAAATCGCCTAGATGGATGGATAGCCTCCCCGTGTCGCACCGTCTCGTCCCTTCTTCCTCCCCGTCTTCCAGATTCTTCTCACCATCCAACCAATCCTCCCCTTTTGAAGAAAAAAAAACAAGAACAAGCTCATCGACTAAAGGGGGTTATTTGTTTAAAAAGGTCCCAAACTGGATCGTTGGGGATAATGCTCAGACAATGAAGGCTTCTCCCAAAAACAGCAAGGAAAACGAGTAGCAGACGCTGATGCGTGACGCCGTGAAGCAGAAAAGGAGAGACTAGGAGTAATTCTATACTTGTACAGATACTGTCTTGTGGGCCGGGGAGTGTGTCGAAGTCGGTGAACTGGCCATGCCGTTGTCCCTTGTTTGCTCAGGGACACGGCTATTGTCCTATACTTCCTCAGGGAATGACGATGGTCGGCTAAACCTCCAGGAACCGTAAAGGAAACCAAGTCCTCGCTAGGCTTGTTGTCTCGGCTCAGCGGCCGGCTTGAGGAAGTGCTGTTGAGGTAACATACAAGGCTTGAATCAAAGTAAAGAAAAGGAAAGTCATAACGTCGTAAAAGGGTTGCGCCCATCATCCACCCATCCACAGTTGCAACGGATGGATCACATGATGATGCAGCACCCGCAGCCTCCCTTCTTCTGCGCCACGTCGTCGTTCTCCGCTGAAGGCGTCCGGCACCCTCGCAGGTTGTTGCTGTGCTGTAGGGGGCGATTGTGGTACAGGCCCGGGCGTCCGCGGGCTTGGCAGCGGGCTGACCTGAGGCTTGTCGGAAATTTTGGGTATCGTCGAGTATGAAGTGCCTTGCTTCAGGGTCGGGCTCTTGCTCTCTATTGGTTTGAGCGGCCACTCGTCGGGACTGTTCCTGCAGCTGCTTCTCCTCTTCTTGCACGCCGCTGGGGCCTGGCACAGGGGGGCTCAGAAGGGCGTCATCTGTCATCGGTCGGAACTCCTTGTCGTAGACGCTGCCGAACTTGCCCTCCTTCTCCCACTTCTCTTGCTGAAGCCGTCGCGCGACTGTGGGAAGCAATTGCTGATCGGGGGGCAAGCGAGGGTCAGGCTTGTAGCTTCCAATCATCCAGGGCGGTTCTCCCTCTGGCGCCCTGTTGCCCGGTGATAGTTCGCCCGACCTTGTTGAAGGGCGCGTCGTGCCGGTGCTGCTTGTGGAGTCTTTGTTGGGACCGCCACGCGTTCGTGGCCGCCCGCTCACGGAGCCGTTCGACTTGCTTGGGGCAGATGTCTTCCTAGCAGTTGGAGTCGTCTTCCTAGGCGAGACATCGGTGGCGGATCGCTTGGCTGGCTGCAGCGTCCCGGCTGCAGCAGGCTCGGCGAGAGCATTGATGCTACCAGCTCTCGACCTCGTTTTGGGATAGGCGATGGACTCGGCTTCGCGTGGAACATCACTCTGCCTGCGTGAAGAAGGCGAGTTGCGGTCAATGAAGGTTTCCGGAATCGGCAAAGGGCTCATTTTCGCCACAGGAATTTTAGAGCCAGCTCTGGATGAGGTACTTGTCCAGTAAGGATCTCCTTCAGCCTCTATTTCCTCGGGAAGTCGCAAGTCCCAGCTGGGTGTCTGGGCCTGGTTGTCAGACAGGCTGTTCTCAGCAGCGGATGAGTTCTTCCGGTGCCGGCTGGCTGGGACAGAATGGTCGCGGTCCTCAGCCGCTGCTGAAGCAGTCCTCTTGGCGCCTTGGTGACGCTCTTCGATTTCGGCCCTTACGCACCTTGCTGCTTTGCCCGGGACCGAGGAAAGGTAGATGCCAGCCGCTTGGAGCTCTCGGCTTTCGATCTTTGGCCAATTTGTCGCGATGGAAGCCACTTTGAGTTTTTCGTTCGTCCCCATTGCCTTAAGCGGTTGATCAGCGGTG